AGAACAATTAAACCCAAAAGAGAAAAAATATAACACATAGGCACAGATAGAACCCTTAGATTTTTATTTAACCCACATGGAATATTTTATGTAATTGTACTTTACTCATACTTTGTAGAGTGGCAAAACCACTCTACAAAAAGCTAAAGAAGAAAACTCAAAGATAGGACAATATACAAAACCTTGCAAAAATCAAAATTTTAAAAAGACAAAAAATTAAAAGCCAAATGGAAACCAATATTTTTCTATGACATTAAAACCAAATTTCAAAAACTAGGTAATATTGACAGCTAAGGTTATTAACTGCAATATGTCAGCTACCATCTTACATGCCTTAGACTTTTAAAAGAGAAAGAAAAAAAATGAGAGCAACTACCAAGGAAGCCTCATGGCCTTATTTATCATATCAGGGTTTCCAGTGTTTATTAGAAGGTCAGTCCTAAGGTATACTGCAACCAAAGCTAAAAGAGGAAAAAAAATATTTAAAACTTTGTCTTTTTTCTTAAATATCACAGATCAGGTTCAAAAAACAAATGGGTCTTGGTTTCCAAGTCATTGTCTTCCAGCACATTCATCACTCTGGAGTGACACATCCAGTGTTTTATGCCTCCAAGTTTCAAAGAAGTGTGAGTGGTTAGCAAAACTGCATAGGAACAGACCATTTCTCCAAAGGGTGGGCTTTGTATCTCCAGTCTTCCAGATCTTGACTAAGGCCAGTTAACTGGTCTGAAAGTATGTGAGAGTTCATCTGAACACACAGAAATCCTAGAATGAGCAAATTTATGAGTGACAGCTAAAATTTCCTGTATATGTTGTGGTACTGTCTGATTTTGCATTCTTGCTCTATGTCTGGCACATTGTTCAAAATCGACAACTTAGAATGGTCTTCCAATGATGTCAAGGGGGCTTAAACAAAACCTACTTCTAGGAGCCCCTCTTATCCAAAAGAGGGTGATGGACAATACCTGGTTCCAATGCAGATGGCTTTCTTTACATGGTTTCACCTGGCCTTTCTTTAGGGTATGATCATCAATTTTTCCTGTAGATTGTAGTCTCTAGGGGGCATATAGCTTCCACATAATCTGTAAGGTACTACTTATTTTGTGAGTGACTTCTGAAACAAATGCAGATCAATCATCACTCTGAATAGACTTGGGAAATCCAAAGTGAGGAATTATTTCCTTCAACACTTGTTCGGCAACCTCTGAAACTTTATCTTTAATGTGGGGAAAACTTCCATCCACCCCAAGAAGACCAAAAGGTACTTGTAATAGCCAATGGTTCTGAGCACTTGGGTAAAATCCACTTGCCCTTCTTCAAAAGAGTACTTGTATTGATACTGGACCCCATAGCTTTATTTAGGATGAGTCAATCTTGGGGTTATTCTTGGCATATAAGTGGCAACTTTGGGTAATCTATTGAACCACTCTAAGCAGATAGGAGCCCTTTAAATATGGGCACATAGATTCTAGCAAGGTATTTCTTTCATAGTAGGGTCTTTCATGTAGATGTTTCAACATTGCATCAAATACGGCCTCTGGAAGGACTGTAATTCCATGTTGTTGACTAACTAAGGGGCAATCTTAGTAAATCCCCATTCACAGGTCCTTTCCTCATTCTGGTTAGTGTATTTGTGAACAAGTTTGGGTAAGTCCAGGAGAAGGATGAGTGCCCCTTAAAGAGCCGAATGAGAATGAGCTTTAGTTGTACAAGCAATTCTTCTGTTGCTTCTATAATTTCAGATAGTTGAAATTGGTGACTTGGAAAATATATCCCCATTGTGGCAGAGGAGAAAACGACTGCTTTCAGATAGGCTAAGATCTCTAGCAGGTACTTAATTAACATCTTAACATTTCTGTAGTTGGTTGTATGGAGTCCCCTTTCCTTTTTACATGGTTCCATATGTATACAGAAACTTGAAACATATTTTGAGCCTGTGCTTATGTTTGCCCTCTTAGCTAGAAAAAGTTTCAAGGCCTGGGTCAGGGCTATCAGTTTGACTTTATGTGCCAACATCCTTGAGGAGAGGGCCTTGGCATCTATGGAGCATATCCACTAAAGCATCACCACTGTATGTTCTTATTTCCATAAACTCGCTCAGGATCCTGAAGGGACTAGTCAGACAAATCTGGTTGGCTAGCACACAGTTTCAATAGTCTCTAAGCAATTATGGATTAAGATTTCATCCTCATGGCTTTCTGCATTGATTAAGATCATAGTAGCTAGATTTAAGGAATTAGTAACTTGCAAATGCACATTGGGGTTATCTAGTAGAGTGTCTGTTGTTTCCTCATGTACCCAGCAGTAAACCAAAGTAAATCCCTTTGTCCTATCAATGTCAAAACTATTAGAAATAATATATGAATATAGAAAAACAGCAGGTTACAAAATTAATAAAAAAATAATCTGTGGTGTTTCTTTATGTGAGCAATGAACTGAGAAGTCAGGGAAAACAATTTCACTTACAACTGCCATCAGAAAATTAAATATCTTGGAATAAATTTGACCAAAGTGGTAGGTCTATACACTTAATACTGTAAGACACTGTTAAAAGAGTAGAAAACACAAAGAGATGGAAGTTATCCTATCTTGTGGATTGCCAAGAGTCAACATTATTAAATGACTATATTACAGCAAAACTCAGTGCAACTGCAATCAAATTCCAAAAGCCATTTTTCATGGAAAGAGAATGAAACAAAGCATGACATTTATTTATACATACAAGAGCTGGAATAGCATGAACACTCCCAAGAAAAGAGAACAAAAATGGAGATATTATATTCCCTGACCTTAAACTGTATTATGAGACAATAGTAATTAAAGCAGCTTGATACTGGAATAAAAGTAGACACACAGATGAATGGGACAGAATTGAAAGACCAGAAAATAAGCTTAAACTCTACTTGGATTATGTAATAGTTAAACTATATTATTCTTAGAAGAAAATATAATTTTTCATGACATTGGATTAGGGAAGTCATGGAGAGGGGAAAAGAAAGCAGCTTGGGATGCCAGTAGCCAAGTAATAATGTAATAGTGAATTCTCTGGATTTTTTGTTTTTCCTTAATTGTCCAGATTTGAGGCTGATTTGTTTTTCCTTAATTGTCCAGATTTTGGCATTTTCTGATGACCAGAAAATGCCAATAAGCACCCAAAAAATTACCAACAAAAGGCCTGCTCTTTCTATTCAAAGGAGGTTTGGTGTAAACTACTAGGCTAACTTTTAGACAATAACTGCTCTAGTCCAGCCAATCAACAGGGAAGAAACTGCAGCCACCCCCACCCACTGCAACCAAAGTGGAATGGAGAACCTGTAATTACACCCTTACCAAGGATGCAGTGGGCCCCCTCAACATTCCTTCTGAAGTGATTTCAGAGAACTCCAAGTGAAAACTGGATTTTCATCTCCATTGGCTGACAAGACTTTCCACTTGGCAGTCCAAGTGAAAAACACAGGGAGCCTAGACTCTTAAAATCTACCTGTCAGTAACAAGGCATCTCTCCCCCCCTCCTGCTAGCATGAGTTAGAGGAAGCCTCATGGACATCAGGGACTGCCCAGTGGTAATGCAGTCAGGGGACACCACATGGAGAGCACGTACTTCCACCCCACTGAGCGGTAAAATGGCTACATCTCTGTGGGTCAAGAGGGGACGAGGGGGAACTTGTACCTTTACAAGGGAATAATAAGGCACTATGCCCCTCTTCACGACTTACATGCAGCAAGCTGCATGAGCATCAACATGTACACGTTCTCCTTATCACTAAGTGCAACCAAAGGGGAAGCACAGAGATTCAGATAGATTGTCCAGGACTGCCAACTTGGCGGGGGGGGGGGGGGGAGGTCTACCCTTTTTATAGCAAGCAGTAAACTAGCTGTTTTGAAATTTTAAGTTGCACATTGCAAATTTTTTACATGAGAAATGGCTCATGTAAAGAGCTGTCAGGGCCTTGCATTCTTGGCATACAGAGCAAAGTGTAGAAGAATCACTTTGGAAGTGTTTCTTCTGAGATCTCTGCAGGGCAAATTAGCAATAAAAACAGTGAACACAACCGTTCCATCTCTAGGAATCTGTCCTACATATTTATTTGCACATGCACAAAATGATGGCTGTGAGGTCATTTATTGTTGATATAGAAAAAGATCAGAAACTGAAATGTTCATTGCAATGGGACTGGGACTCATGATGGAATACTGATAGTAATAAAGCAAAAAGTCTTTGTGTGTTAATTTTGATTGCCAAGAAAATAGATGAAGAAAAATATGCACATTTCCCCTTCTGTTTAAAAGAGGCAAAAATATACACATGCACATATTTTCTAGTACTCATGTAAGCATAAATTTTCATTTCTCCAAGGATACACAACAATCAATTAGTATTCTTTACTGTTTGTAGGGAAAAGAAATGAAAGACTGGGAAATGGATTAGACTTTTGTTGCCCATCTTTTTATGCATTTTAACTTTTAAAATTGTGTGATTGTACCTATTCAAAAGATGAACCCAAAATAAAAGAAATTATTGAATTTTCTGAATTTCTTAATACCACCAATCATTTAAACCAAAGGTCAGGGTGCCACACTTGTCCTGTTTAAATGTCTCATCTCATGCAAAGACACACTCCTACTCATGATCTATTTGTCACCCACCACACAGACACACGTGAGGGTCCACTCAATCCATTCAACAATCTTAATAAGGTCTATTTTGTCATCATCACATAGAAGAGAACCTGGCAACAGATCCAAGCTCTGATTTGGATTTTACATGTGATGGAGACTGTTTTCCTCCCAGATCCTATACTGTTCTTGAAGCAGAAGCTTGCCTGGGAAGGCTCCCTCCCTCCCTTTGCATGGCAGCAGTTCCACCAGCATTTGGTAGCCGTGGCTATGGTGATTGTGAATCATGGGCAAGTGTGAGGTGGTGCTGGTACACTGATCAAAGCAAGGACTCACAAATGCCAATAAAGCATGACACCAATGGCAGGATTTGGATTCAAAATTTTAATAATAAATTGTGCCAGTAGAAGCTTTTCAAAGGCAATGATATATCAATAAATAACAGTTAAATTGAGTTCCTGAGAAAGGACCTACCACATGAAAGTATGTCAGAGCGATGTAAATAACAACATGGCATTACTATAAAATAGCGAAAATACTGACAGTCACGATACAAGCACAGCAGACTTCAGAGTTTGCCATTCATACAAATGTAAACCAGTACACAGGAATCATTTTTTTTAAAGTTTAGGCATTGATAAACTTAAGTGTTGCCTAGATATATACTAAATAATGGATACATTATACTAAAAACTTCAAGGAAAAATATGTGGAATAATATAATGAAAAAGATGCATCAGATTTTTAAAAAGCAAAAAAGAATTGACCTTTTTACTCAAATATAAATCACTTTAAATAGGAATCATACTAATTTGAAATAAGGAATATTTTGTGTGCTTATCTATGTAGTTATATATACATCTACACTTCTACAAAACTATGTATGGCTTAATTATATTTTTATTCCAATGTCACTTTCGAATAATCCTTGCTTCTTTACAAAGATCAGAAAATTAATATATCTTTAAAATCGAGTTAAGATTGATACTTCAAAGCATACCAAAAAAATGTGAAAGCCCTAAGATTACTAAATTTCAACATGGTAACACTTCAGTCGTCTAAGAGGAGAAGCGATGTCACACAAACCCTTCAGTGTGGGGAGTCTGTCAGCAGCAGGGCTGCTGCTCTTGGATTCCATGGATTGGCAACACCAAGAACAAAAGAGCATGCTGACTATCAAAATGGACACAGTTCCATGAGTAAACTATTTTTGGCATAGCTAACCTAATCCCTTTTGATGTACACAAGTTTAGTATATGACAAATGCTTGAATTTACTCTCAAAAGAATCCAATCATAGCCAAGACACACACACAAAAATTACTTCGCAATTACATATCTGCATTTCTTTAACCCAGTAGGAGATACAATCATAAGGAAGAAGTCACCCACACAATACATTACCAGCACACTGTCTAGCACATCTCATTTAAAGATACTCGGTAAAAACATATTCACAGAACCGGCTGTGAATGGCAAGATACGGTAATTTTATAATAGAAAACCCTGCTCATGCAGTACTCTCTACACACCAGACATCTGAAATCACACCCACAGAGTCACCTTGCTCACATTTTCTATTATACTATAATATGCAAAAGCAAAAAAAAAAAAAGCAGCTTTTAACATTTTATCACAATTTTGAAATGTGGGGAAAAATAAGACAAAACCACTGTGTGAATAAAATGGTTATAAGTAACGTCAGAACAGTGTTATCTTTTCTTTTTTTTACATTATTGCACAGAGATTTCTTATCACATGTTCTTCAGTTTTTATGTCTTTTCCTAAATGTGAATAAGTGCTATGGAAAAAAATACAAATGTAGAAAATAACAGCAGCATGATTTGTCAAAGTTATTCCCTACAATTTAGTAAGAAAAATGGCTATAAACAAAATAAATGTTCTTTTTAAACTGTACTACGTTTTTTAAAAAATTGTTTTAATGCAGGTAATGTCCTCAAAAGCCAATTTAAAGCAATGCTAATCCCTACCTCACAAGAACCAGAATCTAGAAACACCAATCTATTAAACTGAATCCTTTTTTTAAAGTGTTTTTGTTTGGTTTGGGGTTGTTTTTGAGAATGCCAAAATTTCAGCTGAAGTAATCAATGAACTAAAGTAAAAGAAAGCTGACCTTAATTTTCAATAGGCCTGTTAAAGACCTAGCTATGGGCCCTGAGCCTTTGAGGAAGCTGAGGCTCTTGGGCATGCCAAGTCATGGGCTATACATACACTGGTTGGCAGCCTTCAGTCTGATCCACCAGGTCAGAACTTTCCAAATCAGAGTTCTCAGCCTGGGAAGCTTCTGCTCCTGAAGGCTTTGGGCACCTAAAGGGATAGCCATTGTCATCGAAGAACCTTCGGAAAGTGAATTCATAAAAGGCGTGCTCTGGGTGCTTGTTATTTGGGGAGGTGAGAGTGTCCCAGGCCTTAGTGCTGTCTTCACTACCATCAGTCCATGGGTTTTCTTCTTCGACAGGGTCAAAGTTTGAGGTGTCCATGGGGTGGCTGATTTTGGGAACGTAGGGTGCTGGCTGCTTCCGGATGTCATTAGAGAAGTCTATGGCACTGAAGAACGGATGAGCCTTCAAGTCATCGGCCCCATCCCTCCCTAGCCGGTGGTCAGCGGCACAACACAGTTTAGTGATGAGGTCCCGGGCCTCAGGGCTCAGCTTCACTTGGGCTGGAATATGGAGTGTGTTCTCCCAGTTTATCACCTGATGAGATACCAGAATCAAAATTTTAGTTTCTACTTCACCTCCATGCCAATCTGAGGCACTTTTGAAACAGTATGTGAGGCTGTAACTTTTAAATAACTATAGTTTCATTGATGAAGGACAGTCAGAACAAACAGAGAAGGAGCAGTTGTAAATCTGGAGAGCTACGAAAAATCAGTATGATTCAGTAGAGGGCTTGCAACTTGAGGCAAGAGATGATGCAGCCAAATACAGACCAAAAGAGGTGGATTTTTTTTTAATCATAAATTTTTTTACTTCTCCCAAAATGAAGAAACTGATGATCTGAATCACATCTTTAGGTACGGTAACAAACTTCTCCTTTCTATCATGGTCTCATTCAATACTTTTGTGACTGAGAGTGGTCACAAACAACAAAAGAAACAGAGAAGAACAGAGATGACTAACCATGGCCTTGGTGTTGTTTCAACCTCACAAACCTGTCATCAGGACGTGCAGTAAATGCTTTTGTCATAGAGACATATTTATAGTGAAAAGAACATCCAAAGGACTACTCTATTGCTTATACTTAGAATCATAATAAAATCAAGTCAAAACAACTAGCCACTGCCTGGGTAGTTGGGCATTGGGTAAAGCACTGGTACAGGTATGTATATGGGTGGGAGTATTGAATCCGGGTTGTTTGTTTTAGTAGAACTGAAAGTATAAAACTCATGTAAGACAACATAGGAGAAAGCTGACCTCAACTAGATGCTAGATTGACAATGATTTCTTGGAGTGATAACAAACGCAACAGCAACACAAGTAAATAGTATCAACTGGTCTTGACAAAAATTTAAAACTTCTGTGTATCAAAGCACACTATCAACAGAGGGAAAAGGTAACTCATGGAATGAGAGACTATATTTGCTAAGTATATATCGGAAAAGAGATTAACATCCAGATTATAAAAAGAATTCCTACATCGAAACAACAAAACCCTAATTATAGAAGGGCAAAGGACTTGAACAGACATTTCTCTAAAGAAAACATACAATTGTCTGTTAAACATGTAAAAAGACGAACACCACTAATCATTAGGGAAATACGAATCAAAACTACAATGAAATACCACTTCATACCTACTAGGATGACTTCTAGTTAAAAAAAAGAAGTGTTGATGATGAGGATGAAGAGAAACTGGAACCCTTGTGGAAATGTGAAATGGCATATGCAATGGCAGTTCCTTAAAAAGTTAAACAAAGTTTATATATTTTTTTCAAAAAGCAGGGACTTAAATGCTTGTACATAGGCTCAAGTTCATAGCAGTATTACTGTTTGCAATAGCCTAAAAGAAAAAACAATTCAAGTGCCCATGGCTGGATGATGTGTGTATATGTGCAATGAACAGTATTCAACCTTAAAAGAAAGCTCTGACTTAAGCTATGAAATAAATAAATATTGACGATATTATGCTGAGGAAAATAAAGCATCATGGAAAGATAAGTACTGGGTGATTACACTTATATGAAGTGCCTTCAACAGGAATCTGCACAAAGACAAGACAGTAAAGAGTTTTTACAAGGAGAAGCGGGGAGCTGGTATTTTCATGGGTATAGATTCTGTTTGGGCTAAGAATATATGTAAGATTGAAGAAATATATAATTAAAAGTGACTAACATGTCAAACTTTGCCAAAAAAAAAAAAACCAGGCAGGTAAATTCGTGGACAGTTTAGCAATTCAATTAAATACAAATAATGCCAAATTCTAATTTTATTTTTAGTGAAATAAAATGAAGCTTTAATTTTGCTTTTTTCTAATGAGGGGATTATTATTAGGGTGTCCTATTATGGGGCATAAAAATATCTCTTGGAATTGTTAGTAAGTATGTGTCAGCTGAGAAGTGTACTGTTCTGGGGAGTTGCAGATTTCAGCTGTTTCCATTAAATCTTTAAGTAATCAAATCTTTCTTAAGTGAATGGTTACCATTCTAATACTAGAAATACTCTAATACTAATTATTTAATTACTCTGAGTATTAGGAATGTGTACAACTGACTACATAGCTTAATGCTGTAACATCTAAATTAAAAAAGCCTATCTTTTCAGATATAGTTCATGAGGTTTTCTGTTTGTGTTTGAATAGTGGGCACAACAACAGTAGACAACAGATCTGCAGGGGCCTTCCCTGGTGGTGCATGGGTTTAAAGTGCAGCACTATGAAGCTATCCACAGTAACTGCAGCATGAGTTCAATCCCTGGCCAGGGAGGTGACCCATATGGTGCAGCAGACCTCTCCTGACCCACCTGCTTTTCCCCTCAAGAGCGCATTTCAGTGGATTGGCCTGGTCTGCTCCCACTCTCTCTGGTGAGTGCTCTCACCTCCCCGCACCTCTGGCCTGTACCTCAGTTCTTGTATTCATAAATAAGTAAATCTTTAGAAAAGAAAAAGAAAATAGATCTGCAGTCTTCTTTACTGCTTCTCACTGTCCAAAGTTCTCATCTGGAAATATCAAAAGTCATTGTGATTAACTCACGCCTTGTCCTACTTAGTTACCTTCAGTTGGGTTTCCGTGGGAGTAGGGGCCAAAAAGGGCGGCTGCCCCACCAGCATCTCGAAGAGAATCACTCCAACACTCCACCAGTCACAGAGCTGGGTATATCCTGGAAGACAAAGCCCCACTCAATTCCAGTGCAGGTACATGTACTCCTCAGAGATTTTATCCAAGTTTGGAAACCCTGCCTTGCTGTTAAGTGAGGAAGCATGCTGAAGTGGCACACATGTAGAGACATGAAAACCAACCTAGAACAAATGTGTGTCCCAGTGCCTGTGGCCTAGAGTGGAATGTGGGGAATGGCACTTGTTGAGCCTTAAAATCTGCATGTAAGGTATAAGAAAACACTTTAATTTGTTCAGTATTGCTATTACTGTTAGTAACAATATCAATCAGAATTTTAAGATACTAAAGAACATATAGGTACTCATTAGACTAGCACTAATTGAAAATTAAAAAGTGCCATGTCTTGAGACCAGTCAGGTGTGGCCAGCCATGTAGGGTCCTGAGGTGGCTTTCAAACCCATTTCAGAAGATGCTGAGGACTGTGGGACAGGAGGGAAGGAGGCATTTTGGAAAGGGAACCATAACCTGACATCTGGTTATTATGGGAGGCTCTCATGGAGCCACACCTATTCTCACAGAGCTCCCAGGTATGGAACATGAAGGGAGGACATCAGGCAGCAGGGTTGGGACAGCCTCAAAGCTGTGAAGCAGGTTCCTTTTTCTTTAAATTTTTTCCTACTTTTTCTTCAGACCCCACATCCCAGTCCATGTCATGCTTTAGTCTTCATGTCACTGAATCCTTGCTCTTCCTGTTTCCTTCCTCTCTTCCTGTCCAGACTGGCACAGAAGGCTGCAGAGTAATCTCATACACCAGCTTCTCTGCACTATTGAATAAGATGTGGGGCGGGGGGGGGTGTCTGTCCCACTGCCATCAACTCCTACTCTGGGCAATGAGGTTAGCACAACAGCCTCTCAGGGTGGTTACTGTTACACGTGGGGCTCTGCAATGCATTAACACAGTTGACAGAGAAAATTCAGACTTGATCCAAGTCTGGCTGGTAATAAAGATTTGAAATAATGTGAAGAGACAGGTCACTGATCTCTGCATTCATTACATACAATCACATCAAGAAACTACTGTTGCTATGGCCAATGAACTGATCACTGAGAGATCTCTCTTGCACTCCATTCTAATCAACTTGGTTAAACACAGCACTCATCTAGGAGACCAGTTTTTCTGAGCACTTAGGATTTTATGCACACTCCTTTCCCCAAATCTTACCTTCAAGGTGCTTCTGGACTACTAGGAGAGAATTGGAGGAAAACAAATTTGTACTCAGTAACCGGCTGGAGATGGAAGCCCTGGGAGTCTGGCTTAGGCAGTCAGTGGTGTGACCCATGGAGTTATGCCATCACATGACTCCATCAGACTCAGCCTGTAGTGATTCCCTTGAGTACCAGGTAGAAAGCCTTCACCCAATCTCACTTCCCAGCCAAAGGAAGGGGCAAGTGGAGGCTGGCCTAAAGGCTCATGTTCTGTCATCTGGGAAAAAGGGGAATTCCAGAGCAAAAGTGAGGCATGCCAGAGATTTGTTTGTGAAGGAAATATTTTTTTCCCACAGGCATCTGTGAGTAAACAGAATGTGGATATGCAGAGTCTTAGAAAGCAGGGGCTGAAGTGGCAGCCAGTGGAGTTCTGACTCCACTGGTCTGAAGTACAGGTCACCGCAGGCAGTACGAAGCACATACCTTTTCTGAGGAGCACTTCTGGTGCAATATAATTTGGGGTCCCAACCAGAGAGTGCGCCAGACACCGCTGATGTTGCTTCTTGACTCTCTGCTCCAGGGTCTTCAGCCTGTCTCCACACCGACAGTTGGATACATCGTCCCAGAGATCGCTGGGCTCCATACTGTCCTGTCTGATGTGGCTACCTTTCATTGGGAATTGGGGCAGAGAAAGACAAGAATAGAAAACAAAGTAAAGATTCACTATTCAACAATGCCACAAATTCACAGTTTCAAACAGAAAAGTGCTCCAATTCAGTGAGCCCTGATGCAGTAAGAGAAAGATCCCCATCATTGCTCCATCAGATCGTCCTGGTACGGGTCTGAGACATAAGCCAGGAGCCAGACAGAAGCACCAGGACATAGAAACAGTGGGGTATGGTGAGGACAATTGTGCTGAGGGGCAGTGTAATGCTGAAAAAAGAAATGCCCAGGGATTGTTAGGCAGAGCACTCTCAGACCATGGCGAACCATCTGACATTTTAAGATGCGCATGGAAAAGCATAAGGATTTTTAAAATGTGAACAAAAATAACTTCACTGGTGGAAAAGAGGAATTGAATGATTAAGATGAATTTTGAGTTAAAAAAAACCCAGG